AAAAAAGGCAGTGCTTTCTCTTAAGGCTATTAAAAATGATGCAGAATTTTAACCATCTGCTGTACTGGGTACTCTTCACTGGTACTGCAAAGCTGTATTTTTGTAAAGGGAAGAAATTGCAAAGCTTTCCAAATAGAAAACTATTTTTTAAGCATTTAAATATTTCAGGAAACAGTGTCTTTAAAGAAAGATTCTTTTAAATTGTGAATTGAGAAATGGGTACTAGCAGAATGCTGCTGTGATTGGGTTTTTCACTAAAAGGGACACAGGTGTACCGCTGCAGCACAGCATATCGCGGCTTTAGAAATGATGTGTGAGCAATATAAGACTCAAGAAATGGGCAGTGACAGAAGCTGATAATTTTTGTAGCCTTATGATTTGGTTTTTTTCAAGGCTTGCTGTGGAAGTGTGTGAGTTGTAGCTGAATGCAACAAAGTAGTTTCTTGCACTTGACCAGCTGTGTATGTACGTATGGGAATGAAATTATTTAATGAGTAGCGTGGAGACTGGCAAAGGAATCGTGTCGCTGGTACGGCCTCCTGAACTATAGTAATATGTCCAGTGCACAAAGGAAGAATATTTCTAAATAATGATAGATGGGGGAAAAATGCTTTTGAAGTGGTGAAGCTTAAAGAAGAAAATAGCAGGAATCTTTAATGTGGTACTCTTACTTCTCATAAATTAATTAACTGTTTGAGTGCCATGAACAGCAAATTAAATATTTCAGATATTCATAAATCATAATATATGGTTTGTCTGGAGTAAGAGCTGAGAAAATTGGAGGTTATTGTCTCATAATTCATCGATGTATTTAAGATCAATTAGCAAGTTATTGGAAAGAGAGATTGTAGTGAAGTATTTGAGGCATGCAGTTCCTTTGACAATGCAGTTTGGGTTTTCTCTTTTAAGATCCGTCAATACTAGATTGTTACCGAAGGCCACTGGTTGTTATTTGTAACTGGGAGGGATGTATTTTCTTTAAGTGAAACATCTACAAATGTATGTTAAGAAAGGCATTTACTTTCTGAAGACAATGTAGAGGCCCAGTTAAGCCTCTTCATTCAATTTTAATTTAAGTGGGGAAAAAAGAAAGACTATGTTATAGATTTCTTGCAGACTTAAGTAAATTTTCTTATTTTTTAAAGCTGAAGGTTATGGGCTGTGTTTTGTCACCTGTTGCCTACCACAGAAAGAAAAGGGGTGGCGAGGGGGAACTTTACTGATCATGCAAGCTTTTGCACGGAACTTGCTGTTTGTCATTTCCTTACTTTTCAGTAGAGAAAATAGCCTCTTTTTTCCCCTCTGCTTTTAGGTGCCACATAAAATTGTACAATATGTTTGCTTCAGATAGCGCCAGAGAAGCATAATGAGGTGTTTAGTCACAGTTTGGATGTGGTATTGGTAGAAAACAGTGCAGGAACTGTGGACTAGATTTTCTAGTCCCTGTAATCCAAGGCTGCCTAAATCCCAAACTGGTATCCAGGCAATACCGAGACACTAAATTCTCTGTTCACTTTTTGTTAGGTTGTTATCTGCTGAACATTTTCCTTTTCATTCGAGTCTTCAGTATGGCTGGGGATTTTGGTTGTGTGGTTTGTTGTTTTGGTTTGTTGGGGGTTTTTTTGTTTGTTTGTTTTTTTTTTTTTTCTCTTCTGTTAACCCTTGGGTTTCTGTTTGCTCCCCTTCTTTGCAGCGCACCTTCATAAATACGAATGCAAACAGTCTGGAGTAAGTGTGCTTTTCTGACATGGGGTTTGTGGGTGGGAGGGCTTTGCAGGGTGACTGTTGCAGATCAGTAAAATAACTAATGTGCAAACATTTTCCCCTACTATGTATTTGGATTTAAAAGTCAGTGTTGTGTATCGGAGCACTCAGTATGGTGAAAGGTACATGTATCACTTAATATTCTGCAATTCAGAGAAAAAAAGATTTCTGCATGAATAAACACATCTACAAATACAAATGTATTATTGATATTATTCTGCAGGTTAATTGTATTTTACTGTATGTGCAAAATACAGCGCGTGTACTTTATCTAATCCTGCATTATGCAGGCTTTGAGATTTCAAAATAGTGTGTTTGAAACCCATTAGGATGTCGGACTACATGAAACTCTGAACACCCTTACTAATAGTGGAAGAAACTCTGAACACCCTTACTAATAGTGAAAGTGTATCGTTTGTTTCTAAGAGTGTTTTTCTATGGGTATGGAATCATACATGAATAAATATGTAGTCAGTGCTAGGATTACAAAATGATTTTGGATTTGGCATTATTTCATGTACTACCTGTAATATATGTTGTCATCCCCTAACACACATCTCAACGTAACCTTAATGGTTTTATTTTAATATCAGTTTGCTCTTCCAGCAAACACAATAGCATGAAGCTGTGGATTCAGGTTACATATTTAGTTCTAAATTTAAATAAACAACCAGCTTATTTTGCTATGAATTTCACAGTCCTAATGATAGCTGAACAATAATATCTTTGTGCAGTTGTTTGCAAAAAAATGAGCTTAATTTGCTGAACCCTAAATACTGTATTTTTTGCTTTGTTGTTGAATGCTGGAGCTGGTTATTTGAAAATAAGTGGGTGTTTTTTGAGATACTGGAAGAAAGTTGTTTTATCACTTTGTATTCATATTCAGTATTATCTGGTTAAATAGAATATGAAATGTAGTATAATTACAGCATCATTTAAATAATGAATTAAAGCCAGCAGATGATACAATATGCAAAACAGTTTATAGCAGCAATCAATTTCCATATAGTTCTATGTACTGCCGAATTATTGATAAAATAAATTGTATGAAATATAATAAGGACTGCTATGCAGTATCATTATTAACTGTGCTAAAGATACTGTGATCCAAATCATATGATAGTCTGGGTGAGGTTATGAGTGTGATGCGTAAGCCGGAAAAGTTTTACTCAAATACTAATTTTTTAAAAAAAAAAAATTTTTTTTTTTTTTTTTTAATAAAGTCAGAGTTAAACAGATCTGCCTGAGTTTCGAATCCATAGAACCCCACAGAGAGAAGAGAACCTGTGGAACATCTTTCTAAGCTTGTCTTTTGTTGGCATCTGTTACTATTACAAAATACATAGGCTTGTCTGAAGATTCTCTGAAAAGCCTCTGATTTGTTAATTATTCCAGTACCAATGGAAAATGTGCTATATTCAATTCTAAAAAGAGATAGAGGGCTTGATTCTGCAGTCAATATAGAACACTTTTTAATGATGTTTCTTGCGATTTGAATAGAGAGCCAAATCAGGCCTACCAAATCTGTTTGAAATGAAACAGAAAATACAAATATATGTGTGCAAATGTATTTATTTGTTTCTAATATGCCTAATTAAATCAGCAATGTGGTATCTGGTGTCCATTAAAAATGTATTTATTTTTTTATTTCAGGGCCTGGCTTAGAAAGTATTTGATGGTCAGTGGAAAAAAATGAGGAAGAGGAGGGTGTGGCTGCTGCTTAGAGGATCTGGCCCTGCAAACAGGCACTAGCTTGTGGAGATGCGGTCCTTCATCATGACAAAATGAAGACTTCTTTTCGGTAAAACAAAAATACTTATTTTTTAATCAGAAATCAAGCAAGCGTGTGATCCTATTATTTCTTAATGCATATTTCTGAAGGATGGTCTGTTGTCCTCACTTTGGTGGCTTTATTTGCATCTTGTTTTGCCCCAGATTTCTCAACTCTTTCACTAATCATGACAAAACCCACAAAAACTAGTTCCAGCTTCATAGAGTAATAAGGAAAGTGGTTTGAGGTTTTGTTTATTCTGAATATCCAGTAAGAGACTGATCCTGTAGACTCTAGGATGTATCTGTACCCACTTCTTAATTTTTATTTCTGTATGCTACAGCATTAGCCCCTGAACTGGCACATGTACACGCAGGTATTTTTGTCTGTAGTTCTTTATATTGTGACAGCAATTACAGGATCACAAAAGGTTGGAATGAGCCTTTGAGAATATTTTCAGGTATCAATTCTTGTGGGATGAGATTTTTGTCAGTATTTCTAGTAGAACTATATATATATATATTTTAATACATAGCCCACACTTGTTACAGGGGCTATTTGTTAATAATGCTTATTTACAATCTTAATTCTGAATAATTGATGTTAAAGACTTTTTTTTTCCTCTGCTGCTGCAAATATTGCTGCTGCAACTGTATTTTGAAAATGTATGACACTTACTGATACCGTGAGTGAAGATGGAGCTGAAGAAACTTCTTCAGTAGTAAAACCACGCACAGGTGTGGTTACAGAATCTACTCCCTCATCTCCTGCCTTATATTTGAACTCATCATCTCTTAATTATGTATCCTTGTTTTCCTTTGAAGAGCAGCAGTATGTGGGTTGTGGTGAGGTATTATCACAGTTTGAGTGAATTGTTAGCCACAAGACTAAAGGCTAAGTGTAGCAAACCGCCATACGAGTGGCAATATCCCAGCATCTGACACACATCTTGAAATCTCTTATAATTATTAAAGGGTTTTTGCAAATAATGATGCGTAGATGGGGGAAAAAGATAATAAAATAAACAAGGAAACACATTTGTATAGTAAAACAATATATTGTAATTTAGGTTCTTGCTAATTATTTGCAGGAAGGGCAAGAGCAGGTAGCAAAGTAAACATACATGTTTTTAAGTATTTTTGTGAAGTTTGAGCAACGCATTGATAGCACTGTTTCAGGCACAGTAGCTAGCTTAGAGGATGAATGATTTCGCATTAGTTAAAGTGAACTTGTCTATTTTTTTTGCCGTTGGTTTTGGCCATAGGAAACATTTAAAAGTAGAAATTACTGCATTGGATCAGATCCATAGTCTAATTAATGCTAAGTCTACCCTGACAGTTCTTACAAAGGGTTGATTGGTAAGAGAACGGAGGGTGAAGACAACCAACATTTGATCCTTTTGGAATAGCCTGTCCTTGTCAGAAAGTGGGCCAGCTAGATCCCTTGGCCAATGCCTTTATCATGGCTTTGCGCAAAGGTCTTTACGGTCTTTCCAGCAAACAATCCCATTGAACGCTATATTTTTTGCAGACCCTGAATAGAACTGTATTCTTTCAGAATCCCACTGATGTCCCTTAACGATGGACTGTGGCGCTGATTTTCACATGCTCAGCCTGCGCTTTGTAAAATAATGTATTCCCATAGTTTGAATTTACTGCTTATTTAATTTAACTGAATAATCTTCCATGCGAGACTGGAAGTAGGCAAGAAAGTCAGACTACAATTCCTGACTTTCAAGGTACGTATCTCCGTTGTGTTCCCTGTTGCTCATGTGCTCTCTAATGTAAATAGTTTAATCACTTTTTGTCTTCATATATGGTAGTCTTTTTGTGAGTCAAATCATGGCAGTCTTTTTGTGAGTCAAATAGTTTTAGTCACCTGTCCTTGCACTCCTGTTACTTCTGTAGTTTTAGGGAGGTAAGGTAAAAAGAACTGTAGATAGCATTCTCCATTAAGGTATTTCCCTGGCAGGCATATATTAGAGGGGGTAATGTTTTCAATACAGTATTCTGTGCTTTTTTGCATGCATGATAAAACTTGACTTATTTGATATTGCTGCATATACGTGAAAGCTTTCATCAGCTTGTTCTGATGATACCCAGGTCTTTTTCCTTTGCTGAGAATGTTGCAATATGATTTCCTATTCATATCATAAAAAAAATATTTATTGTGTTTCACATTCACTCAACTTTTCTTAAACCCTTCAGTAACCCAAATACATTCCCCTCGCTTGTCAGTTTTGCCTCTCTGTTTTAGAACTGATCTTTCCAGACCGCTAACTAAAGTTAAAAGGTGATACCAGCATGGCCTATGCATGCAACAGCTATTAACCTTTTTCTTTTTTAAAATGGCTTTTTATTCCTACATTTTACTTTTGGCTGCTTAGCTCATTTTTAATCATGCCTCCAACTTTCAGTTATGATTACTCTGTTTTCTTTATGGTCTTTATGAGTCACATTATCAAAGCCCTTTTGAAAGGCCAAATAAATAATAATTTCTCCTGCGGATGCACTCCAAGTTAAAAAAGACATATTTCTCATTCTGTTAGCAACATTGTTTTTCTCTCCATTATGTAATCTCTGCTTAGGCATTAAAGTTATAATCTTTCAAAGTAGCCTTCCAGACGGTTTACTAAATGCTAGAACTCATTGGCATGTAATCTGGATCATCATTTCTGGCTATTTTTAAGGAGTGCTACCCTTTCATTCACGACAGGAGTGTGCATATTTTTGTTGGAAACCCAGCCTCCAACCTCGAGCTGCTTCAGAACTCCTGCATGTGTATCTAGTCCTCAGAATGGCTTGCCTTTTAATTAATACAGTTATTTCAGCACTTTTTGTTTTGGTACTTCGCTGCTTTTTCACCCTTTACTTGCAGAAGAATTGATTAATGGGATTTGCTGTCTAGAGGGACCAGAAGAGACAATTTGATCACTTGAGTATCATAGATTTTTTCCACATGTGTTAAGCCTGATAACTGATTTCTGGGTATCAGGCGATAAAGAGGTATATCCAGAATATGAGGTAGTAGCAATATTGCTCCAGCCCCCAAAATGGACTATGCAAGAATTTTGTGTCACAAAGTCATGTTTCCTCTGTTTTCCTGTTCAAGAGAAGGGACATATTATTCCATGACTTTCTAGAGTGTGCTTTTTACTTTGCATCTTGGAGGCAGAGTGCTGTTGGCTGGTGCAAAGGTGAAAGAGAACTGGAAAATGAGAGACTAGGAGGTATAATCTTGAGTTTCCACTGGAAGAAACAGTCAATATACAGCTGCTGCTTTTTTTTTTTTTTTTAAATAGCATTTCGGCTAACAAAAAAGGCTAATATGGTCATACAGGGTGAGAAGGGGTGAGTTTATTCTTTTGCATGACTAGATATCTCAAGGTCATAATCAGCCGTTATCTTTTCTGCAGTGTTTTTCCTCCTCTTTATTCACTCCCTTTGTTTCCCAGTACTATTTCAGACTTGCCAGCCAATTGTTGTGCAGTCTTCCTGCTTCTAATGTATGTCAATAAATTGTCCTTATGTCTTTGGTTCAGTCCCTATGCTCCTAATTTCCATTTTTACGTATTACTTTCTAAGTATATTCTTTGTTCTAGTTGTTTCGGTTCAGTGCTTTTGTTTTCGGAAGAGGTACCTCTTTGCCTCAACCTATTACAAAGCTCTCAGCACTCAGATTGCCCTTGCCCACCTACTTCTGTGTCTAGAGATTTTTTTTTTTTTTTTCTGATGGATATGCTATGCCTGCATAATCTTTGATGCATAAAAGTGGAGCGTTCCCATTGAGGTCAGTGGGAAGATCCAATAAACATATAACATGACAATATTGCACTGCATTTCCAGGTAGCTTATTTTAAATACCTGCTGTCTGTTAAGGCTTTCTGACTCCAGTGTTCTTTCTTTGACTCCTGGTATACAATAAAAAGCCCAATACTTCTATATTAGATTTTGGGGAACAGCAATCACTGGAAATGGTATTATTAGATACGGTTGTTCCAGGCTCAGAAGCGGACAGGTGAGAAAATGTAGAAGACCATTATACTGAGTGCCAGTCTTTTGCCCACCTGCAGTGGGAATACCGCCCATCATGGTGCAAACACATGGTTTGGAAGTTTCTTCTTTATGCTTGGCCATGTTGGAATCTGTTGTGAACCATCTGGGCTAAACCCTGTGCTCCCCAGTGGGATGTGTATGCTAAGAAGGCTTTCTCCTTTTGGTTTTCCCAATGACAGTAAGTTTCCCTCTCTTCCTACTGGGGCAAGAAGAGGTTGGAGGCCATAGGAGCAAGAAACAGCAGTGGCAGGGGGAGGAGGGAGGGGGTTTTTTTTTTTTTTTTTTTTTTTTTACAGAGAGAACATAATAAGGCAAATGTTATTTTTATTGGATTCTTGATTTCGTTTATCTGTTCAGATCCTTTTAAAAAGCATTTGAAATGCATGGGTTCCTGCTATGAAGAAGCCTGCAAACAGGGAAGGTGACTTCCTGAATTTTCTGAAGAGGAGTGCAAAGAACCTTCCTTCCTCATCCTGCCTGATGCTCGAGGAAAGGGCAGAGCAAACCAGTGTGCTTGCAGGCTGGGTATAACGAGACCCAAGCTTGCCACACGTCATGCATTAATTCACGTTGCTAGAGACTAGAAAGCTGCATGTATTGTTGTGGATTCAAAAATATGTATTTTGTAGAAAGCATCTGAGAATTGGAGGACACCCTCTCACCCCTTCCCCCCATAAAATTCATGCAGCTAAGTCCTCTACTGTGCTGCTCTAGGACTGTGGGTTTTGGAGTCTGGCACTCGTGGTCCTCCTTTCAAACTTGCTGGCATGATGGGTGATCTAGTGCTGATCTCAGCTGCATTCAGCCCCTGTGGGGTTTGTCGGTGGTGCTGAGCTCCCTGTGCCAAAGACTTTGATCAGCTTGGACCCCCTGCCTGGCCTTATTCCTATTATTTTCTTCTGCAACCTCTGGCAATGTTCAGCTTCATCAGAAGTGCTTTTGCCTGAGGGTAGAGAGGGGGAAATACCT